GCATAGGTTTGCCCTAAAATACGTGTAATTAATTATCAGATCGATTAAGGAACTATATCTCGTCACTTTAAAATAAATCCTAAGATGATATTGGCAAAATGTTGCCAAAAAGCAACATTCGGCCGTAAAGGGTTAAGAAGAGAAGGGGATAGGACACAATGGATTTGCCGCAGATCAGATGACAAAAGATTTCAGAACATTAATAACTTTTTAAACAGATCTACATATGATAATAATCAAACTTTCCACCAATCATACTTCTGAGAAAATTGAATGAAGAGCAAAACACATTTTGTTATATAACTGCTCTCTGTGGAAAGCAGAATGGCAAACGGATTTAGCCGTCTCAGTTCATTCTGCTTGATTTGTACTTATACGGTAATTTTTTCTCAGATTCAGTCTGAAAATCTGTTGCAAGCTTACGAGTTGCAATAAAGAGATTATCGTGTCGTTTTCAGCTTAATATTACAAAGTTTTCAGAAAATATTCACTGAACTAGGGACAGAAATTGCCCATGTGGTAATTCAAATCTCTATGATACATCTTCGTAAGTAGTTTTAATTACTTTTTTTCGAAAGAATAAACTTAATTGCCGGATGTGATAGAGCAATTTTTAGCCAAATCATTATTTTCTATACGAAAGAAATGGTTCAGAAATTCACATCATTGAGAACCTCTCTAAAGAAGTATGCTTGCTTACAAAAGCACTCTTAACCACTAGAATAAAGCTCAACTCAAAAATCAGACCCAACGACGCTATAAAACCAAACAAGTTTTTTTCCAATCAGCAACTTCCGCAGTTTTCCTCTAAACTTTTTAGATTGTGTAACGGGATTTTTCTTGAAATTCTGTTAGACACTTCATCATCAAACAGAAGAAACAGATCGAGGACAGTTATCTGACTGAGATTGAGGGCAATAATGGCACTCGCGGAGAAGAATCAGCAGTAAACCAGTAACACTACTTAGTTTACGAAGAAGATGGGTCTTAAATAATCAAAAAATCAATCCAGTTATATGTGAGTAGCTTGCACATGACTATCGTTTTGACATTTTGCATAAATTATTTTTTTAGACATTTAAAAAAATCTATCGAGAAAATAAGAATCAAAGAATAGTAACCTGTGACGAAACTGAGATGTAGCTTTTATATCAGACTATTTCTTTCTTTCTTCGTCACTTCTGTTTCTGAAGAATCATTGATTACATAATCATCTCGATTGTTCATTCGTCCTTTGCTGATATGGACACAAAAGCGCTGATTGAATGATACCCTCGATGTCATCATATGATTTCGAGAAACAAAAAGACATATAGAAGACTCGTTCTATACTATTATCTTGACCGTAACGGACGAAATCATATATCGAAGGTCTATCAGTATTCGTTCATATATTTGTACATGGTCACAATCTAGTAATTTTGTTTTTCCACCATAAACAAACGTAATCTTCATGGAAAATAATTTCATGTATTTACATCATGTTTTTGGGACATTTTTGAAATAAATATTTTAAAAAAATCTACTGTCTCGACATAGTCAGTATCACACACTTTTCTGTTCGAAGTGCATCCAGCTTTCATTAGAGTCGAGAAAATATCAACAAATTATGAATTTCATTTTCAGAGCAATTTCCTACAACCAAGACTTCCTTCTAATTATAATTTCATCGTCTATTTGAAGAAAACTTTAGAATTACGACCAATCTGTTTTAATTATCTTCAAAGTTTATTCTTTGATCATTGACAATTTGTATATATATATATATGGATTATCTCTCAATAAATCATGATATTGATGTCTTTCAATCGATTCCATTTCTTGGCTTTGCTTGTTCTCACAATAATAGAAACTTGCATGATTTTTTTCTCTCTATTCTATATTATAGCATGTTTAAACAAGCGTTTTTTTGTGTTGTATGTCACTATATTAATAATATGTTTAGATGAGATAAAAAAATTATTCATCAAATGCTAAAGATGTAATACATTGAAAAGTTAAAAAACAATGAATTTGAAAAAAATCTTTCAAAAAATCATATGATACGGAGAAAAAATGTTTTGTTTTTCTGCAGACGTTTTAAATATTATGTACTTGACCAATCGATTAAAAATACTATATCATTGTGCTAATATGCTTTATTTCAATATAAACGTCAGTGCATATTTATTTTGCTGATAATTTCAAAAAAAAAATTCCTCTATACATGCATCATGCAATTCAAACATGATAATAAAGAAGATGAAAAAACAGTCGTTGCTGTATAGCATCGTCTTGTTCCACTATATTAGTACACATCATGTGCAACAAAAAAAAAGACAAAAAAAAAAGATGTATTTTTCAAAAGTGAATATTTATCACGACAAATTTATACGAAGACAAAAAGAAGACACTAACAAAGAAAAGCTGTGTCTGTGCGGAGAAAAAAAAGAGAGAGAAGTATAACTATTATATGGAAGCAGAAAGAAAAACTGGACCAAAAAAAAATACGATTGTACAAATGAAAGAAAAAACAAAAGGAGCTGATTCTTAAAATAAAACCAGTTACACCTGACATGATGGTGAGAGAAAAAAAAACGTAAAGTGCCGATCGACCAAAGAGACACGACAAAACAAAAAGGAAAATAAATCACAAGATCATCAGTAAATATCATCATCATTATCAATATCTTCACTCGAGTTGTATCGATACAAAGTCACAATAATTGGATGGTTGAGGAGTACTAGCACGACTTGATGCTGCCGAGGAGATCATCGACGATGAACCACCACCTTCCAAACGACTGCCAACAAAATTTAATAGGTATTGTTCGCGTTCTATATCGAACGAAAATTAAACCATAAATAGATTATTCAATAAATTAAAAAAACGCACCTTGTCCTGTCAATGGACAATCACGTGAAACAGCTCGATGTAACAAGACATACAAAGCTGTACATGCCACTGATTCATAAGGTGTACTAATCTCAAGACTATTGGCACGTAATGATGAAGCAATAGCTGCAGCAGTTGCTGTCGCTGATGTTGATCCTTTCGGTTTTGGTTGAGCACATTTACTCATTGAAAGTTCACGAACAAGTGGCGCTACTATTGTATTCCATTTTGTTTGTAACCAACTATCAATAGAATATTTGAAAAATTTCTTTTTCTTTTAACATTTTACATTACAAAAAAAGATCATAATACGTACTCGAAAATAGCTTCACGTTCCATTGGACAATCAAAAAATAATGCAGGTCCAAGTAATGCATCTTGAAGACTTAATTTTTGTAAACATTCATTATAACGTTGCCATACATTTGTTACCCACTGTAATGTTTTAATTAATTCATTATTAATTGATCGATTTTCACGAATAGTTCTATAAATGAACAAAACAAAAAATTGATTCTTAGTTCTAAAATAAAATCCATGCTTACATATCAATCATACGTCTCCATAATTGTCGTTTAAGTAAACCATTCCATGGTACACTATCAATTTTAAATGGTATCCATTTAAATTTCTTATAAACTTCATGTTCTGTTGACCATGTACGTTTACTCATTGTAATAAATATATGAAAGATGGATGGAAAATAATAAATTGTTGTTGAATCTAATTGATAAAAAGAAAATTTCATTGAAGAAAAACAAAAAAACTAATAAATGATTAATTACTAGATTCTTCTTCTCTCGAATAGGATATTTTTTGACATGTATCAGAAACTGTTTCACCATTTAATAATAAATTAAGTACATCAGTGCCACCACTATTTTGTATATTAGCAAAATAAAGTAAATATTTTGTAGATGATTGTTGTTCATTTGACCATTGATATGTACGAAAAAAATCTAAACAAGTAAAACAATTAAATAAGTAAAGATTAAATTAATTATAAATACTTTGTTCAACAAGTTCATCAATGCAATCGTCTAAATTTGTAACACTTTCAAATTCAAATCTGATCACTTGAAATTTAGGACTAGATGAAAAAGCTATTGGTCGTTCTAAATATCTCATAAGATCTTCAAATAATGATTTTTTCTGTAAATGAGCTGCTCCATAGACTCCAACATAAAGATTTTGTTCAATCTAACAAAAAAACACATATATTATATACATGTAACTTCAATTAATAAAAATCAAACATACATAGCGAATAAAGTTTTTCAAATTTTGACTTGGAATGAAATAATGGTATGCTAATGAATCTGTAGCATTGATTTGAATTCCTTTAAGTTGAATAGTTATACTATCTTGTTCATGTGCGACTGTATATGGCATTGGTGATTCATCATTTGGACTATCTTGATAATGCCATTTAGTTAAACCTATTCAAATAATAAATTCAGTAAATATATCTTTTGGGTTTTTCTCGACACACGATCTAAAAAGAATGCTGAAGTATATAGGATAGAAATTTACAGTTCCACTTCACATACTGTGATAGATACTAGTCAGAGACCATCACAAATTGCGACAAACGCCTTGTCAACGTACACTTTCTTCGCCACACAGATATTGTTGATACACAATCAAAGATCGTATATCAGTAACATTTCATTATACTATCTCAACTAATTCCTTATTGGATTTTTCAAGGATTAAGTAAACGAATGATGAAATATACCTCAAAATAGATAGAATAAAACAAGCTCTTTGTAATTAGTAACAACAGCTACATCATGTTTCACGTATTAATCCCCGCAAGGATTGTACTAACAGATTTGTTTTTTTGTTTTAGATTTTCAACATACCAAGTATTATTGTATCAATATGATTTGCTGTGCAACCAATAGAAGATTTCATATAATCAAATGGTGAATCGATTTGTGTGATATGATCAATAAACATTTTTACACATGTTCGTTCAAGTTCAAGCCAAGATAAATCTGTTGTTACAGATATTCTACCAATAGCATAAGAGTATCGATGTTCACCATTAGATGATGTAATACGAACAATTAAATTGATTGGTTTTGAATTAACTATTTTACAAAAAAAAAAATTATTAATTTTTTTATTACGTAACAATTTAAATTATTATACAAACTTTCTTCATTATCTAATGCTGATAAAACAGCAAGACATTCATTCGAAATAAATGTATTAGGATTAATAAATTGAATAAAGTCTTGTTTAGTTATAATAGCAAATAGACGTTCGAGAAAATACTAATAATAATAAATGTATATAAAATAAATTACAATATGAAAAAGAAATATTTACTGTATTAGATGATCGTAGTGCCATACGTAATAATCGAGAACAATATGAAGGATTAGTTTTTAATTCTTCGTGTAAAATTGATAATAAATAATCATAAGTATTTGTATGATTATATTCAATAGCATTAAAAATTAAATCCATAGGTGGCTGGCATATACAAAAAAAGTAATGATTAATTCATACTATATAAAAGCTACTTACTAGAATTTGACTAATATCAACAAATGCTTGTAAACATTCAAGTTCTATTGTTTCATTTAATTTTGATAAATTATTCCATGGTGTTAAACCCAGATTATTTTCAAGTAATGGATTAGCACCAAATTTTAGTAAATGACGAATACATCTAAATTAAATATGACGATTTCTAACATTCAAATTTATTCGAAAGATTTTTACTCAATGTGGCCATTAACTGCAGATAGATGAAGACATGTATTTCCATTGAATATTTGACTATTTGGGTTAGAGCCAAGTTTAAGAAATTTCAGTAATTGTTCTACACAAAAGTTTCTTCTTGATTTATAAAAGAAAAGTAAAAGAAAAAACAATTAATTTGATACCTGTATCTCCATTTTCAGCAGCTTTAAAAAGTATTATGTCAGAATGTGAAGATGACGATGAAGATGACGATGATGATGATGATGATGATGATGATGTTGTAGAATTTAGATCGTTTTTGTCTGTGTATGTTGGTAAATCGGCAACGTCTGTTGAAGAAGTTAAACGATTTTCAACAACTAAAATATCAATAATAGAAATAATATTAACAAAAATAAATCAAAAAAGATTTAGCCAAGCAAATACAATTAGCATTATTAGTATACACACATATATAAGAAGCAGAAGAAGAAACTTCGTGACAATTATTCACACAAACATAAAAAGCATAGATAAGACGTAGGGTGATTGAATGTCTTTAATTGAATAGATAGATTACCTGTATGAATGGTTTCTAACAAAGTTCGTAGATCAACAATTTTGTGTTCTGATGAAAAACTAGTCTACAAGATGGAGAGAATAGAATATACAACCACAAGACCAATTTTTTTATGTAAAACACTTTTTAATTTTTTCCGTCACAAAAACAAAGACAAAAGAAACATACAAAGCAATATATTGGATTATCCATTTCCCATTTTAAGGCATGCATCGAAACCGAGCTCTGATTCGGGCTTTCGCTTACTTTTCAACTAGTTCTTAAGGAATCAGCCCACAATAGATATATCAATTGGGACGGTCGATTTAGTCTGAAATTCTCCGAAATAAATGGTTGTAGTGAGAAATACTTCTAGTAAAAAATTCAGCTCAATACGTCAAACTAAAGCGAACTTACGGCTTATTTATAGTCCATTGATACCCTTCAGAAGAATCCTTATCACTTCGTCACTACAAGAGATACAGAGCTCAATGGTGGTTTCAAATCAAGACCAATCCCCGTAGGCAGTTTTTAGCCGAACAAAATTTTTATATTCACTTCCATTCATTTTTAAAGATGATTTAAGTATATATAATGTTACAATAAGCAAAAAAACGTGACTTCACGACCAGAGATGTGCACTGCGCCTAAAAAACGAGATACAAGTGCTGCCACTATGCTGCCTGGCAACCGTTCAGTGATCACACCTAAAGTTAACTGAAATTATTTCTTTTGCCAACATTTTTCTCATATTTGTTGCTCTATAACTTATAGGATGTTTGTTTCCGTCTTCAATTATTTTGCAGTTAAACTTACACACATTTAGATATAAGATGAGTTCAAATATTATGCTCGTTACAATGAAACTCATGAAGTTTTAAGTTAGACATTGATTACGATTTAATGTATTAATTTAACGAATGAGTATAAAATGGAGTCATTAAGAAAGAGTATTTCAGAAAGAATGAGTCTGTCAACGACTAAATTCCTTTTCTTAACTTTGCAACGTTTGATGCATATTTTTTCATAAAAATTCTTAGAGTTTAACAGCTGGCATGATTGAGGTTCGACCACGCGGTGGACAAATAACAAGAGAAGAGGTGATAGAGTCGCCGTTCAAAAATAAGTCATACTTGTCGTTATAGTGCGGATCGTTTGCGACACTAAATATCGCTAACCTCAACACAGAATTAACCGTAAAAAATCCGATCAAACAACAGTTTATTCTCATTTAGACATGTAAAACAAAAAAAAGGTATTTTGGTTATTAGAGACATCCACAGGGTACGGTTAAAATAAACTTATTTTTGTCCTGTTCTGAGCAGAACAGGGCAACACTCAATAGAAAATAGACAAGACCGGGTAAGGTCTTAATACCCTGTGATATCCTGCAAACAAGAAAAATCACATTTTCGAATTTTTATCCTGAAGAAGAGCGTCCTTTTAATCATTGAGAGTCATGAATCAATAAAAGACTGCAGGGCACAGTACCAATTGATATTCCAAGCATTTCTCTTTAGATCTACATCCTAGCGAGCTTTACCAGATATGAGAAACAAAAAACCAGAATGTTAAAATCAATATCCGAAGAATAGTCAAGTTTCTTTTTCGAAATCCAGAAAAATTCCAAGTTTTTCAGGGATCAATTTCAATCGATGAAACTGTGTTTTTTCTTGTTTCAAGTAGACTATAAATAATGCTATTCTTCATTTCCATATGTAAGTTCCGATGAAACAAGAGACAGCATACATCAAAACTTAAGTAATTCAGATAATAAGAGTTTCTAAAATACAGATTTCGATATCAATTAACACGTTTTTTTTCTTTATACAATATTTTTCTCTAGAATAGATTAGCTTTAATATTTCTGACTTTTATAAGAAATAATCATACATTTTTGTACAAGATTCAGACGAGCTCAAATCCAACTTCAACTCATCGAGAATAAGTTTTATTGAAATACAATTTTGTTGATTACGGTATAAAGTTTTCATGATCGAATTGAAGAAGACAGAAAACATATATGCAAGAATGAAGAAAAATAATTTGTTCATTGAATGGACTAAGAGAACGAAAACCTCAACCTCTTTTCAATCATAAAAAAATAATTGAGTACGCCAATAAACAAACGAAACAGAAAGTACTTGAAATCCAGAAAGATTCTACAAAAGCCTTCAAAATCCGCATGTGTTCTGAAAAATCCATAAGATCTGGCAATAAGAATCCCAAGGGGGGACACGGTCAAATCAAAGAATATGTAAAATGACTATCGAAAACTTTTATTTGTATTTCCTGTTCTCGTAATTTATCGAACTATAGGCGAACATTAATTTATGATTTCTATTTCATTCAATGCGGATGATGATACGAGCCAAATGTCTGCTTTTGATTCTATTGCTACATCAAATACGTCCTCTTCTCGTCCACATCCATACTCTAAAAATAATTCACCTTTTAAATTTAGCAACAAGGTTCTACTGTATTTTGTCGCAGTGACATTTTTAATTATTCTTTCACTAATTTTTGCTGCTCTTCCTGCTGCTTTTATTGTAGAATACGTTTATATAAAACAATATTCTATGATACAGTGAGGAAACAGTTTTACTTTTCAGTTCAATAGGAAACGGCAATCAAGTGAGTTTGTCAACTAGACAGGGTACTCTGCTCGGTCTACTGAACGAAGACAGGACAAGATAGAGTGTAAAAAATCATCCTGTGGATACCTCTGTTGGTTATGTCTTGCACTGAATGGGAAGAATTTCATATTTTTTGATTGAAAACCAAGTTCTGAGAAAAATGTTAAATAAATTTAGATATGGAGTTTTTCATTGAAAACCAGAATAAATATATACTGAAATGGAATTTTTAAAAGTATATAACATACGACGTAAGTTAGCATAGTCTGTCTTACACAAATTATATACGAATGCTGATGCAAATAAAAATAAAATCTTCTTAAAACTAAAAAACTTAGAAAAACCTGAAAATTTATCGGACAACAGAATACTAGAGTCGAAATCTCTTCCAAACGTCTGTTAAAATTTTGCTTTTTTTCGAAANACTTTGCCCACATAAACACCTCAGCTAGACTAGTTTGCATAAAAAATTTCAGAACTTTTGGACAAAGTCTCTCCGAGATATGAAGCTTTCAACGTATAAGCCGTTTTCCATAGATAGCGTATAAAGCATGCATTTTTTGAAAGCTTCATATCTCGGAGAGACTTTATCCAAAAGTTCTGAAATTTTTTATGCAAACTAGTCTAGCTGAGGTGTTTATGTGGGCAAAGTTTCAGATCAAAATTCAAAAATATGGTCTTGCTGCAAATGTGGGGTTTTATAGGAAAAATTCACTAAAACCTCGATATCTCACTAGGAACAAGCTAGGGGCACGAACTTTTTTTATGGTAGACATAATTCATCAAGGCCTACAAGATGCGCAAAGTCTCGACTAAAAATCGCTCCAACATCTGGGAATGTTCCCTCGTTAGCAGATGTTCATTCCCTATTATGACCATATCGGTTTCTTGTACTGGCTTCATGGAAATTTCACATCAATAATCTTTCAATACATTTTACAACAACAAATTTATTTTTGACAAACAACACCAACAACAGAAAAAAAAAAGAAAGTATAGATCTTTAGAATTCTCGTTTTGCTTAGCAATAAATGTTAATAGGTTCTACGAACAATAAAATAAAACAAAACGAAAATAGAATAAATACATCGAATATAATTATCAATAAAAGAAACCCAATAAATATTTTCTTTCTAATTTGTTCTCGAACAATACAAATCTCATGTCATTAAGCGAGCCGAATAGAACAAAATGAGATAATTTTTAAGTTATTTTCTAAGTATCCTTCTTGATACATGTTTTAAACGTGTGTTCAAGTTGATATATGCTTGTTGATAATCGATTAAAACCATTAATAAGTGAAACAATTTCCGATCGTTCCAATTGTATTGGTTGCTCCGAAAAAAGAATTTTCAATGCCGTACCTTAAAAAAAATATATAAAACAATCCAAAATAGCTGCTAGTGCAATTCCTGTGAGATAAAAATGTCAAACATGACATAGCTGCTGTTGCTAATCAACGGGAAATAGTTTTATTCTATCCATTATTTTATTTAATTCTCCGCAAATACGATACAGAAGTAGCTCATATATTACAACAAGACATTATTGACATATGGTTTGTGACATTTCCATGATAACGTTTGTCATGTCTGTGGACAAGTCAAAATTTTCACCTATACAAATAGGAAGCAGAATGTTTTGATTCTAGGGTTGCTTCAACACTTTTTATCAAGTCCTCATCTAGAAGTTAAATATGAGAGAAAACGAGTTTTTGAATGTCACTTAGATGTAATACAATCATTGTCTCTTCCATGAAACTCACATTTGGCAACATGTAATAGAAAAAAAGTCCCAATTTGCATAAAAAAACATGCCAACGTTTATGTTCATTGGAATAAGATCTTCGAAAAAAGAGATTCTGATCTACTTTACCGAAGAAAAGTTTGATAGAAAAGCAGAAATCTTTCATAAAAAAAGTGGTATTATTAGCTTCTTCACTGTTGAAAATGTTTAATAGGCGTATAGCCTTAGTCACCGAAAGCAAAGGAAGATTTCGACAGGTTCTAATTAATCTGACTCAAATTTTTCTTACAGTTCTTGTTTACTTGTAATGAAGGATTCTCACTTCACATCATTGTCGATGTGTGATCTAATATTTACTTGTAAAAGACGTAATATTTCCTCAAAAACATTTTCTAAGTCTGCTTGATTGAGAAAATATCATTACTAACTACAAGACATGGTGAAAAGTATTGGTGTTTATACAAAAAATGTGATGCGCTATTCAAATCTATCAATCTAATGAAAGAAGGAAAGTGTTTGAATATACCAAACGTGAATCTAAGGTATGCTTTCGCTTTCCAAAGTCTTGCAACTTCACTGCCTCTACTTATTGGACACGAGTTGATAGTAGATAAAAACGTGGGTTAACCTAGTAATAACACGTCATTTGTCAAAAGAAAATGAAAATTAAACAGTAATAGAAATTTTTCTTTTACAAAACTTAAAGTCTATCTAAGTCGTTCTCTGTCCTGGCGCAAGTCTATCTATGTTTGGTAGTTCCACCACCTATACTCTAAAAACAATTTCTGCTACGGAACTTTGTGCAGAACAAACTCGAAAAGTTACGAGTTTATGTCTGCGCAAAGTTCCACAATAAACAGTTTTTTTTAGAGTGTATCCCTCTATAGTTCAACAATCGTGTTCCATAGAATTAAAAAAAAATAATGTTCTTTGTTTTTTCATACCTAATGCTTGTACTTGTAATTTTCCCCATAGTTTACATTTGTCACAACCAACACAATCCATAATATGACTTATATTTCGAAAATGTTCTTTAAATTCAACTTTTAATAATTCATTTCCATTTTGAAATAAATTATGTTCATTGAAATAATTTGCATATGGTTCAATTTCTTTTATAAAGTGTTTCATAAATAATTCTTTTGTATGAAAATCATCAGTTTCATTTCCTGTAAAAAATGTTTGATCTTTAAAAAATTCTCGTGCTTTATAAATTGCACGTAATTCTATTAAATAAATAAAATAAATATTTTTTAACCATTTTGGACCTTCACCATCTGTTACTTCAGAATCAAAACGACGTTTAAATTCATCAAAATTTGGTCCCCATCGTCCATCAGAACCTGTATAACCACCACCAGTTGTCGGAAAAAAATATTGTGCACATAAATGTACTGTAATACTTGTATGAAGACCGGATATAAGACGATAAAATGTTCGTCCTTCAAGACACATTTTATCTGCATTTAAACGTTTTTGTCTAAGATCATAATAAATTTTAGAATCCGGTAAAAAAAAACAATTTTCATTATAAATTGCTGACCATACTCGTTGAGTTGATGGACCTGTATAACCAGTATAACGTTCAAGATTAATTGATAAATCAATATATTCTAAATCAGTTGATGTTTCATCATCAACATCACAAAAATTATCTGATTGTCCATCATCAAATTGAATCCAAGTTTGAATTGTTTGTTGATGTTCTTCACTTATATTTTTATTAATTAATCCAAGTGTAGCATTACTATGATTTATTGCACAAGGTTCAGGTGGATGAATAACTTTATCACGTAATGGTTCAGGTAATTTTTCAATTGGACATTGTTTTATCGCACATGTTCGACGTGAACAGTGACCATCTTCGGGCCAAAATAGACATTTTTTTCTTAGATTAACTGGAAAAAATCGAAAATAGTTTTTACTAACTATTTTATGTAATAATGGATAAAGACGTTGATTATTAAGTTCAGTTAAATCAGATATACGACAATTACAATCATCAATTAAATCACTATTACTAGATAATTGACATTGCTCATCACTTGAAACTATATAAAAACTTAGGATCACAATATAAATTAAAAGGATAATTAATTTCATCATTTGGTACATGAATAAAGAAAACACATCAACCGGTAAACGTGTCAATCCAAGAATGAATGATCATGAGTACACATAGTCCAGGATAGTATACGACAAGAGAACGCACTATCAACATTAGATGTGATTTTAACCAATCAAAATAAAACAAATATTGAATCGTCTTAGTGCTATTATTGTATTCGTTGTCAGAGAACCAATAAATGAAATGTGTTTTCTTGTCACCCATCTCTTCTTCCGTGTATTCAAATCGCGAATGGCATTAACTTTTATAGCATTTGCTTATATTGTAGCACTCACTCTTACAGCATTACTGATCTTTTTTGCAATATGTCTTGTAAAGTTTCTTTATTTTGTTCTTTTTTCTTCGTTGAATAAACATTTTATTTTTTTTTTTTGAATAGATAATTATTTTTGATGAATTAAAAGTCGATGATAAAGATTTAATAAAACAATGTAAAACATTAAATCTACTTATTATGTTAGAATGTATGACACATATATTTATTAATTTTCTTTTTGTTATTTGTGGTGAATGGTTAACAGTATTTTTTAACTTACCATTAGTTTTATATCATATTAATAAACAATGTAGACATTTACTAGGTGAATTTGGTATATATGAAGCAAGAAGAATAATGATTTCTGAAATATTCAATTTAGCACAACGTGAAGGTTGGATCAGATTAAGTTTTTATATGATTACATTTTTTTATTATATTTATTGTATTATTGCTGAACTTATTCGTAAATGAATACTGAAAAAAAAAAGAATTTTTATATTCATATTTGCTTTTCTAGTTTGTATTTGTAGATTTTTGTTTTCTGTGATATGCTCAAAATAATTTAATATACAAAATGTAAAAAGTTAATCAATTGTGTTAAACTATTGTTTGAAAATTCTATGTATGTTTTTACTGAACAAGTATTTATCGAATTATAATTCTTCACTTGAATCAAATAATGGAGAATTTATTGTAAGCTCTGATTATGCTATAAAAAAAAGAATATTAAACTTTTCAAATACTGTATAAATATAGATAAGATAATCTACTAACGGAAGATTAGCTAGGTGATAGTCTTTGCCTTAAGGTCTTTTTTTTTTATTGTCGAATGATTCATTGAAAATGTCTTAAAAAATCAGAAAAATAAAGTATTCTTTCCATGATATTCACAAGTACCATCGACTTCTTTCTCTTTCGCACAGTGTAAATAGAACAGTAACAGTGTGATTCTCTTATGCTATAAAACTAAATTGTTTTATCTGATATACGGATAATAATTCTGAATATATACGATACTTAATCTTGTCATGATGAAGTTGACTCTCATTATTAATAATGGTTTCGTTGTTTACCTAGAACTATTGTTGAAGCTATGCCTTTTACTTTAATTTAATTTTTTATAGTAGCAATCATAATAAAGTATTAAGAATAATATTTCTAAATTATTGACATCATCATTCATCTATCATTTGTAACGTTGCTTAGGGATGTGCAGTTTCAGTTTACTGACCAAGACTCAATTAAGATAATGCACACTGATTAAACGAACATCTTCGTTCACTGAAACATTGGAACACAATTGCTACAAAAAGGACATATTTTGGTGAAATTAATATCTCAATGTTGCAGTGAACGTGGATGTCGGTGACTCACTGTTCAGCACTTACACGAACACTGCACATTTCTAATACTGCTTTTTCAATTAGTTTTACATTTGAATTGCACTAAATTTATTTTTATCTGTGAATAGATTCCTATCGATTTATTGAATGTTAATTATTTTGTATAGAATAACCACCAAGTATTCAATTTTTTCAAAAGATAGATATTAAATATTTAAATATTGTGTATCTCATTGTTAAGTATAATTTTTATGACTGACTCATTGGAAGAGAATTTCGAACTATTCTCTATTTATTATTTCTATTTTTGTAATACTTGGCGAGTGACTATTTTTCATTTAAAACCTTTCCGATTGAAATCTATTTAAGTTTTTAATTAATCTTACTGTAAATGTTATTATTTTATTAATTTTAAAATTGATTTATATCATGTAGAAGTTTTTTTTTGTAATTACCAATTCATAAAAGTTCAACAAATGAAGAACTGATGTATCTAATTTTGGCTATGCAAAGTGTTCAAAAGAAGAAATTTCAAACGAGAGTTTGTTGAACTAGATTTAAAAAAGAAAATATAGAAATATATTTACTTCATTTTTTTGCTTTAACTTAGCTTACCCATCCCATCTTGTAACTACGAAATACCATACAATCCATTAACTTTAGAATACTGGTTAAATTTTATTATGCTTTTTTAAAATTCTCAATTCATTTCTACAAATATCTTTATTAATAAAACTTTATTAATTAGATGTCGTTGAATATAATCAATTATGAAAAAATAAAATCCTTAAAAAATTTCTAAGTGTGAGGCAAATATATGATAAAAATGTCGATGGATGAAAGGAATGCTGCTGAAAAAAAAGATTATCATTAAGCACACAGTCTTATTCACTTGTGTCTTGTGACGAAAGTATTTCATATGTTTGAAGTCTTTTCGCTATGCATTTATTATTAAAAGAAATTAAATTTTACTTGATAAAATTTGGTTACTGAAAACAATTTCTTCAAAACAAAATTAAAGTTTGTATATCTACAATTAGAGATAATAAAATAGATCAAACTGTAATGATGTTGACTATTGATTCTTCTTCTACAGTTCACGTTTGATAGTAATACAGAAATCAGACTGCAATAGTAATAGCTAGATAGTTTTCATATGCTGTATGACTATCAAACACGGACAGAAGATACAGAGTCACTAGTCAACATCATTAAATTTTCATCTATTTATTATTTCAAAGTGTAAATGCATATACTTTAGCATTGTTTGGAGAAATTATTTTTAATAACGAAATATTTCATTGTAAAATTTAATTATTTTATAATAAACTTATCATGAAGAGAGACTTTAAATAAGACAAGAAAAATCGTATTCATTGTTATCTAAAATAAACTTATTACTATATGATCTTATCAAGATACATGATTCATGTTTATAATAAACTAGATGAAATCGAACATACAACAATTGAAATAAAAATTGTTATCGATGATATCAAAAATATTTGTTTGAAATATAATAAATTATACGTTTTTCTTTTGTAGTTTATCTAACACTTTTTCTTTCGAACATAACAAATTACATGTGGTATAAGTATGTATTTAAAAAGAAAACATGTGGAAAAATGATTGGAATTTTTCTAGAAAATAATTATATCATAAACGTACTTCAATTTAATAGAAAATGTTTGTTATTAAAGAAAATATTATAAGTAAAAGAAAAGAATATTGAGTTAAATAACATACAATAGTAAACAGAGGATGTTAACTTGAAACTATGAAAAATATTCTTTAGTTCGATTATTGAAATGAAAATTTTTAGGAGTATTTAGTAGTTTATTTTCTTAGTTGGTCATGATTATATACTTTGAATTGTTCAGAAATAATGTTTCTGTGCGAAAAAAAATAATCGCTTTATGGTATTGTTTATTTAAAAGCTAACCTATGACTAAAATATGATTTCCACCCAGAATCAAGTTCTCATGTGATTTATGTTTGTCAAGATAATTATATTTGAAAAAATGAAATGTAAAAGACAATGCGGTATTTTGAGTTGCAATGGACTGAATATTTTTTTCTTTTATAAATAATTTTTAGTTAAGAATTGTAAGAATAATTGCTTATAATTTTCGAAACGATAGTACCTTAAGTCATCAAAGTCGTTGCCTCTTTCGTCTTAGTTATGTATAGAGGTGTAAGCCGAAGGGCCAAACAGCGGCGGCGTCAATTTTTTATTTTTTCTTCCAAAGCGGCGGCTGCTGCTAGACTTTATGTTTTTCTGCACCGGCGGCGGCTTTGACAACCAAAAAAAAAAAAAAACGTCTTTGCATATGTATCGATGTCAACGGCGGCGGCGCCTTATACTATTATCAAAAGTTTTCGTTCGTGACGGCGGCGCACCGGCTGAACTTACTTTTTCACAGCGGCGGCTCCTAAAAAATTCTTAAAATTATCTACGATTCCGTGGCGGCGGCGGCTTACTTTTCAAAAAAATAGGCGGCTTAGACCGGCGGCTTACACCTCTAGTTATGTATTAGATAGAAGCAGACGACCAAAGTTCGAAAAGCGCTATGATAGTGAATAGTTACATATATAATTGGCAATATTATGATGATATTTCAACAATGTTTAGATACGTGTCAAATATCTTGATATCAATGATGAGAAGATAATATAATTTTCATCTTTCTCATTTTCTACATCTCTGACATTATGAAATTTTATAGTATTCTTTCTTTTTGTTCAGTGATGGTGATATTAGGATCCATCCATAAAAAAAATGCAGAAAGAAGAGAGCGATCAGTCAAAACCTGACAGAAGCTACTAGAAATCCGAACCAGAGATGTGCAGCACCAAGTTTTTGTGGTCTTGGCAATTTCTTTTCTAGTAGTCTCGGCTCCAATATAGTGAGAACTATTCCAAAATTTATTCGTATCACATCTAAGTAAACATTTCAATACTTGTTTCTGATTTAACGGACGACAAAATATTTATTATTTTTTTTGAGTTGTATCTTTTGAATTACGTTCTGATTGATATGATTAATAAGACAATACGTTTAAAACTATAGAATATTTAGCTATAACCTTTGGTTTTGGTTGGAACAACTTTTTTTCTCATAGTCCCGCTCTCAGCAACTACATTCTTTTTGTGGACCCGGCTCCGGCAAACTTTCAAATTTTGATTCCGCAAATCTCTAGTTCGGAAACTTATTACGATTATTTTATTTTTTTTACGAACTTGTAGAGAAGTTTCCAAGTGAAAATAGTTTTGAGTAGTATTGAGAAAAGAAGAACTTCTCAGAATTTCATTACGCATCATCTACATCAGTAGGCTAATATAAAAAGAACAGTATAATAGAAAAATCGACTCTTTCTAAAAAAAATTTTGGAAACGGAACGTCGAGGAGAAAGGTGGTCCGTCAAAACCTGCAATTTTAGATGCTATGACAAGTCGTCGTGGGTGTGTGAATGTGAGTGTCTGTGTGCGTGTGGATCTTTTGTATACCCTTACCGACCCACTAACTCATGTACCTACACCTGCTAGCACTCACATCTCCAAGCAGACAAGAGTTTCTGAAAGCGTGTTTAATCGTGGTTTCCGTGTGAGTATTTTCACGTTGACTTAGAAAACACCAAAACTAGCTACTTTTATCATAAAAGATGCGTTAAGACACTTAAAAAGGCAAGTTTTGCATCTGGAAAACGTGCAATTTTTTTTTCGTCAATATTTTGATGTGTGATATATGTCAAAGATATTCGGAAAACATTATCCAGATGCTAAATTTTCTGTTTCAAGTATCTTTTATTATGAAAGTAACTAGTGTCGGTATATTCGGAGCGAACATGAAAACGGTCAAACGAGAGCCACAATTACACGCATTTTCGGAAAAGATTGTCTTTTTGAGGATGTATGAGTGTGAGTACACAAAACATTAGCACTCACACTGGTATCCATACATCCAGGACGAATTGTCCGGTCATTGTAATTTTTAACTGTACGTCCTTCATGAATGGTTTCTTATTTTTGAATAGATTATTTTTAATGAGACTATATTTATATTCTATTTAAGATGGATCCAAAGGATCTTAAATTACGTACTCTTTTAATTAATATTGGCGATAAATT